GGTACCATTTCGTTTCAGTTGACATACCCTTTGGTGGTAATATATTAGGTAGTTCATCTTCCATTATTTGAGCGTCCTCCTTCAGCAAATTGAATTGTGTGACTTGGCCATCTACAGCTTGTCTGGCTGCAACTACACCAGGTGAGGTCGCATTTACAACAAAGTGTTGAAAGCCTTTGATGCCTTTTATTTTCTTGAATAATGTAGCAAAGTAACTACACCAGTCAAGTGTTTCTACAATGAGTTCACCATTGCTACTTCCTACTGGTTGGGTTTTGTTCACAGCAGATGATTGTTCTACAACTTGAATGAAGTCATCCAATGAGTCCACCTCTGCTTTACGGAATTTTTGCTTTAATAGTCCGAAGCACCAGTCAGGAGAAAATTTTGTGTGTCCAACTGGCAGAAAAGATATTGAAATGGACGCATTGAGTCCTGTCATGACTCTCCATAAGAGGTACTAAAATAAATAAAAATTACATTTAAAATGTTCATTATTGTGCATGTAATATACTTACTTGAATAACTGTGTTATTTTTATTTTGCCCTGTGCAGTTGTCAGCATTGAAATGGATACTGACTGAGTTGAGGCCATGATTCTTCAAATGAAAATGTACCATGCTTATGACAGGATTTGCCCCTTTACCAGTGTCGAATGATTCATCGATCAAGAAATTAACCTGCTGAGGGATAGCTTCACAGCACACACCAAATATGCCACATTTCCTGGGAGTAAGAAAATAAATTGGACCTGCTTGTAGTGGACTTGAAGGATAGTGAACCTTTAAAAAAGTCAGTGAGCTAGATACACTTTCATAATTATCATAAAATGTTACCTGTTGAGCATAATCGAAGCTATAATGTGCTACAATATTTAACATAGCAAGTGGCCTTGTTAGTGGGGGATTGTAATTGTTTGCTGCATCAGTATACAGCCCTTTTAACAATAATTGTGCCTCTTAATACATCCTTATAGTACTCCCTTTCCTTTTTAACAAGACTTCTGTGATCTAGTGCCTTTTGCATTGCCTGAAAATTCTAAATAATACTTGTGTTATTACAATACTGACTTACCTCAGTTATCCTTTCATCTGATTGCATGTTAG